AATAATCCTCAAACTCCATATCCACCGTTCAATCCCTGAAAGCACAAGAGTTGAAATATCCCTCTCCAGACAGTGTCAGAGTGTGGTCAATGTCGAGGGAATTGAGGTTTGTTCTTGCACTTCAGTGGATGAGGCCTTCATTGCAGCCTTCTGCATGTACTTTGTCTTCAACATGACATATCCTGGATACTTGAAAAAGACACTGACCTTTCTCCAGAGGCGCATCGCAAACATCATGGGGGATGGAGACAAACCCCTGCCGGTAACTGTAACTCGAATTGTCAACCTTCTTCACTGATCATGCCTGGAATGCATCAGTGTTTAAAATGCTCAAAGAGGACCTTTACTCTTAGGAAACTGATTGATCATATTGGACTTGTACATGCACACGACCCTCATTTCAGCATAACCTGTGGGATAAGTAACTGCCAGTCTGCTTTTTCCAAGTATCATTCTTTTAGGCGGCATGTTTATCGAAAACACAAAGACAATATTTCTGATTGCTCTGAAGTAACTAAAGAACATTTTGAAGAACTAGTTGAACACACACACGCAGTTCAACAGCCCACACCACCAAGTATAGACACTTTGCTCAAAAAGACCATTTATTTAGTTTCATTCTCAAGTGTACCGAAAAAAATAATCTCTCCCTCTCTGTCCAACAAGATATTGTTGATGACGTACATTTTTTGTTGTGTTTTTTCAAAGAAAACTATGACTCATTCATTTCTTATCATTTGGATAAGAATGGTTTCCGTATCAGTGATTGCTCAGAACTTGAGCAGGTTTTGTCTTCTTCAGACTTTTTTCAGAAAGCATGTGATTCAATTCGGTCACCATTCATGATAAAAGAGCACTGCAAATCAAAAATGGACATGACAGAACCGATCAGTTACACAGTAAGAGACAATTCAGGAATGAAAATTGGTACTTATTCTTATATTCCAATCACACAGGTATTGCAAAAATATTGCCAGGTGGAGGATGTGTGGGAACAGATTGTTTTGGATAACCACAGAAATCGAGATAACATTCTGACAGATTACAGTGATGGGGTGTACTTTAAGGAGCACTCATTTTTCAAAGATCACCCTCAAGCTCTAAGACTTAATTTTTATGAAGATGAATTTGAACTTGTGAACCCACTGGGGGATAAAAGAAATAAGTACAAAATCTGTGCTTTTTATTATACAGTTGGGAACATAAGTGGAAAATACCGCTCAAAGTTGGGTCACATTCATCTAACCTTAATGGTTCGCCATTCACATGTGAAAGAGTCTGGGCTTGAAACTATACTACAGCCCTTGATAGCTGACCTCAAGATGCTCTCCACAGAGGGCTTCACGTTCAGTCTTGATGAAGTAGAGCACACAATTCAAGCTGCTCTAGCAACCATTTCATGTGACAACCTCTCTGCTCATATGATTGGGTGCTTTTCTATGTCTTTCAATACTGGCCAGATATGTCGATATTGTATGGCCTCACATTCAGAGATACAACATGAGTTTTGTGAGGAGAGTTTTGTTCTTAGAACAACTGAGGTGCATAAATATCACGTAGCTTGTGTAAAAAATGACAAACAAAGTGCTGTTTTGTATGGCGTCAATGGTAATTGTACATTTGATGCACTGCCTTACTTTGATGTGACAAAGTGTCTTCCCCCAGATGTAATGCATGATTTGCTGGAGGGAGTTCTGCCTCTGGTAATGAAGTTGGTCATCTGCAAAGTTCATAATCAAAAGCACATAACCATAAATGAACTCAACGATGAGCTGAAAAATGTAAACATTGGGAAGAATGACAGACGAAATAAACCAGTGCCATTGACTGAAAAACGCCTTGGACATTCTAAGATAGTTGGATCAGCCAGTCAAAAATGGTGCCTATTCAGACTATTGCCTTTTTTAATGGCTCACCATATCCCATCTGATAGTCCATACTGGCATGTGTTCTTACTATGCTCAGAAATTGTGGATATTGTAATGGCTACAAAAGTGAGAAAAGATGAGCTTGCTCATTTTAAATTGCTGATTCAAGAATTCCTTGATAAGACTACTGAAGTCTTTGGAAATGTTTTAACACCAAAGTGTCATTACTTGATTCACTATCCAAGATTTATATTGATCTACGGTCCTCTTCGCCCTTTGTGGTGTATGAGATATGAAAGCAAGCACCAATATTTCAAAAATTTTTCCAGTAAATGTAGGAACTTTGTAAACATAACTCTGACTCTCAGCAACCGTCATCAAATGAAGCAATGCTGGGAGTTTTCTTCGCAAAGGTTCCTAGGTGACTTTGAAAATGCACTCAGCAGAAGCATTAGTATGCCATTTTCATCTCTGCCACGTCATTTACAGAACTCTCTGAAATTAA